ATGAATAGACCAATAACAAGGTCTGAAGTTGAGGCAGCAATTAAGAGCCTACCACATAAAAAAAGCCCAGGTCCAGACGGGTTCACAGCCGAATTCTACCAGACACACAAGGAGGAGCTGGTACCATTCCTTCTAAAACTATTTCAAACAATCCAAAAAGAGGGAATCCTTCCCAAATCATTTTATGAGACCAACATCATCCTGATACCAAAACCCGGCAGAGACCCAACGAGAAAAGAAAACTTCAGGCCAATATCCATGATGAACATAGATGCAAAAATCTTCAATAAAATATTGGCAAGCCGATTGCAACAGCAAATCAAAAAACTTATTCATCATGATCAAGTAGGATTCATCCCGGGGATGCAAGGCTGGTTCAACATACGCAAGTCTATCAACGTAATTCACCACATAAACAGAACCAAAAACAAAAACCACATGATTATCTCAATTGACGCAGAGAAGGCATTTGACAAAATTCAACAGCCCTTTATGCTAAAAACCCTCAATAAACTCGGTATCGATGGAACGTATCTCAAAGTAATAAAAGCTATTTATGACAAACCAACAGCCAATATCATACTGAATGGGCAAAAACTGGAAGCATTCCCTTTGAAATCTGGCACTAGACAAGGATGCCCTCTCTCACCACTCCTATTCAATATAGTACTGGAAGTTCTAGCCAGAGCAATCAGGCAAGAAAAAGAAATAAAGGGTATTCAAATAGGAAAGGTGGAAGCCAAATTGTCTCTATTTGCAGATGACATGATAGTATACCTAGAAGACCCCATTGCCTCAGCCCAAAAACTCCTGAAACTGATAAACAACTTCAGCAAAGTCTCAGGATATAAAATCAATGTGCAAAAATCACAAGCATTCGTCTACACCAATAACAGACTTAAGGAAAGCCAAATCAAGAGTGAACTGCGATTCGCAATTGCTACAAAAAGAATAAAATACCTTGGAATACAACTCACAAGGAACGTAAGGGACCTCTTCAGGGAGAACTACAAACCACTGCTCAACGAAATCAGAGAGGACACAAACAGATGGAGAAACATTCCATGTTCATGGTTAGGAAGAATTAATATCGTGTAAATGGCTATACTGCCCAAAGTAATTTACAGAATCAACGCTATCCCCATCAAGCTACCATTGATTTTCTTCACAGAACTGGAAAAAAACACCATGAACTTCATATGGAACCAAAAGAGAGCCCACATAGCCAAGTCAATTCTAAGCAAAAAGAACACAGCGGGGGGCATCACACTACCGGATTTCAAACTATACTACAAGGTTACAGTAATCAAAACAGCATGGTACTGGTACCAAAACAGAGATATAGACCAATGGAACATAACAGAGGCACCGGAGGCAACACAACATACATACAACTATACAATCTTTGATAAACCTGACAAAAACAAGCAATGGGGCAAGGATTCTATGTTTAACAAATGGTGTTGGGAAAACTGGCTAGCCATGTGCAGAAAGCAGAAACTGGACCCCTTCCTGACACCTTACACTAAAATTAACTCCAGATGGATTAAAGACTTAAACATAAGACCTGGCACCATAAAAACCCTAGAAGGAAATCTAGGCAAAACTATCCAGGACATAGGAGTAGGCAAGGACTTCATGAACAAAACACCAAAAGCATTGGCAACAAAAGCCAAAATAGACAAATGGGACCTAATCAAACTCCACAGCTTCTGCACGGCAAAAGAAACAGTCACTAGAGTGGATCGGCAACCAACAGAATGGGAAAAAGTTTTTGCAGTCTACCCATCTGACAAAGGGCTGATATCCAGAATTTACAAAGAACTCAAACAGATTTACAGGAAAAAAACAAACAAGCCCATTCAAAAGTGGGCAAAGGATATGAACAGATACTTTACGAAAGAAGACATATATGAGGCCAACAATCATATGAAAAAATGCTCATCGTCACTGGTCATCAGAGAGATGCAAATCAAAACCACATTGAGATACCATCTCACGCCAGTTAGAATGGTGATCATTAAAAAATCTGGAGACAACAGATGCTGGAGAGGATGTGGAGAAAAAGGAACACTTTTACACTGTTGGTGGGAGTGTAAATTAGTTCAACCATTGTGGAAGACAGTGTGGCGATTCCTCAAGGCCTTAGAAATAGAAATTCCATTTGACCCAGCAATCCCATTACTGGGTATATATCCAAAAGACTATAAATCGTTCTACTATAAGGACACATGTACACGAATGTTCATTGCAGCACTGTTTACAATAGCAAAGACCTGGAATCAACCCAAATGCCCATTGATAATAGACTGGATTGGAAAAATGTGGCACATATACACCATGGAATATTATGCAGCAATCAGAAATGATGAGTTTGTGTCGTTTGTAGGGACATGGATGAATCTGGAGAACATCATCCTCAGCAAACTGACACAAGAACAGAAAATGAAACACCGCATATTCTCACTCATAGGTGGGTGATGAAAAATGAGAACACATGGACACAGAAAGGGGAGTACTAAACACTGGGGTCTATTGGGGGGAAAAGGGGAGGGCCAGTGGGAGGGGGAGGTGGGGAGGGATAGCCTGGGGAGAAATGCCAAATGTGGGTGAAAGGGAGAAGAAAAGCAAAGCACACTGCCATGTGTGTACCTACGCAACTGTCTTGCATGCTCTGCTCATGTACCCCAAAACCTATAATCCAATAAAAAATTAAAAAAAAAAAAAAAAAGAAACAAACTCTATTTTTAAATTTTAATTTTAAAAGAGACTAAACATTCTCCAGATAACGAAGTATTACAATACAAACCAAACCTATGAAAGTTTGACTCTGATTTTTTTTCACTAGCATATTATGATCATAGTGATTATTATTTAAAAGCTCAGTCTGTGCTAAGAAAGTCCACGGTGTCCAATTCTGAAACCAGAATGGTGAGGATGAAGGATACAAGGTCAACTTTTGTGGGGATAAACATCCCATCTATTCAATGTTCGTAGAGAGGTCAAAATTTATATTCAGTAACATCAGATACAGGAAGCCTGCTGCTTGTGACAGAAAGTAGAGACCATCGTGAAGGAAGAGAAGGGCCATGGGGTAAGAAGTAGGCATAAAAATATAGTAATGCGATGCGGGGCAAAATGATAATTCAATAGCAATATGCTACTTTATTAGTTTAAAAAATATCCAAATCAGTTGGAATTCAGGATTCTTCCCACAGAAATGAGAAATATAATGGCAGATTAAATACCTAACTTCTACAATCTTGAAGTAACAACTGAAAAATAGCATTGTATTACTGTATCAATCACATCAAGGTGGCCAAGTGAAAATGTACTTGAGTTCCAACCTCAGATAACCAGAACATCTCTCTCCTCAATGAGCAAAGACTTCTTGGGTAAGGAGAGCAGAGTCTCTGTTAGATCAAATCAATAACAGAGGTTCCCATGGCCCATGAAAATAATTTGACACAAAATTACCTTAAGAATTATGCAGAATCCTAGCCACTATTGTCAAGGAACTAAATCGGGATGATTTAAGAGCAGAATTCATTTTTGTAATTTTCCACGAAAATCTAATTTTACTTTAAAAAAAAAAAACTCCCTTAAAATTCAATGGAATAAATTATTCTGAATATTTAGCACTGCTATTTTTATCACATATTTTTAATCAACTTTTAAAAGTCAGACAAAATTATTAGAAGAGCTCAGAAAGGGGGCCAGGAGAGAAATTTTAGAATTTATCCTGTTACACAAATAAATATATGTACATGCACATTCATAGCAGCGTTATTCACAACAGCGAAAGGAACAAACAACACAATATCCATCTGTGGATGGTTTACCCACACAGTGAGTTATTTATTCAGCCATACAAAGGAATGAAGTGCTGAAAGACGTTACGACAGGGTGAACCTTGAAAACATTATTTCAAATGAAAGTAGCTGGTCACAAAAGGCCACATATAATATGATTCCATTTCTATAAAATGTCCAGAATAAGCAAATCCATAGAAGAAAAAGCAGATTAGTGGCTGTCAAGAGGCTGAGAGAGGAAGGAATGGGTAATGGCTGCTTAATAGATCTGAGATGTTGTTTTGGAGTGATGGAACTGCCCTGAAATTAAGATAGAGCTGACGGTGGCACGACATTGTGAATGTACTAAAAGCCACTGAATTATACGTTTTAAGTGGCTAAAAGAGTCAATTTTATATTATGTGAATTTTACCTCATACTTTCTTTAAATGGGACTCTATCTTCTGCCTTTGCTCATCTTTCTGGTGAAAATATGCTCTTAAATCTTTGTCTTCCCTCTTAATCTACCTTGTATCCTTGATTCTCCTCATTCCTTACAAGTCTTACATCCATAATCTCTTCCCTTCCATTACTTCCTAAGTCTTTCTCTATTCATTCTTTCATATCTCCAAATTACACTTAGATCTCATCTAATGCCTCTATAATTAAAATGTCCAATTCCTCTACTCCTTATGGTCCATTTCCTTGTCATGCATTCCCTCTCATAGTCCCTATAATCTGGCTATTCATCAATAATCATATTCCCCTTTCCTTGCAAAGCAGATTTTCCAGCTGGAAGCTGTCAGGTAGGTATTGCTAGAAACTCAAAGGGAAGTCTAGTCTATTTCTCAAGGCATCTCTCCTGAAATTTATACATTTCTTTTTCTTCTAAGACTATCTGTCTACCTATCTTTGCAGCTTTCATGTTTAATATTACAAAGCTAAGCTTAGGATACATACAAGGTTTTAAACTATATATTTTAACAAGTTATTTTGGAATCAAGATATAAACTAGTTTCAGCACACAAAAATGTAGAAAAATTTCTTTGTGGGGGCGTGGCTGGATTTCATCAATCTATGTATTCATTGACATAAATTAGCCAATATACAATGAATCATATACAAATACTAACAGATGAAAAAGCATGTCACAAATTTTTTAAATTCATTTGTTCAAAAGATATTTATTGAGTATCTATTACATGCCAGGCACTGTTCCAGACACAAGGGATACAGATGTGAACAAGACAAATAACATCGTCTTAGAGTGGACAAACGGAAAGTAAACCAGATGGAAGTGAGTTCTATAAAGAAAACAGAACATGGTAATCTGATGGAGAGATACAAGAAGTGGATGATGGAGCTACTTTAAATAGAGTGGTCAGTAAAAGCCACTTCAAAGTGAATTATGAGATGAATATAGAGCTTCCTTACAAGACAAAAAGTTATAGAGATGGATGTTGGCGATGGTTGCACATCATAAACGTGTTTAATACCACTAAACTCTGCACTTAAAAACTGCTGAGAAAATTTTATGTTATACATAGTTCATGTTAAATTTTGTTATATATACGTATTTTATGTTAAATAAAATTTTATGTTATATATATTTTCCACAATTAAAAATATGGAAGGAATAAACAAAATGAATTTTGAGAAGCTAGGTACGCCAAAGACACAGTAAGTGGAAAGTTCCTCAAAGGGGAAAAGAAATAGAATTTCTTACAACAGTAGAGAAAGGAAAATGAGGGCAAACATACTATGTTAGGCTTCTGACTGAATAAAAGGTGAGGGTTCCCTTGTGAAGTTTTGGAAATTAACATAGCAGGAGAGGGTTTCTTATACCTAGGAAGGAGACAGCAGGTGTCAAGAAAGGTTGAGGAGAACTGATCAGAGAAACCAAAAGTAAAACTCTCCTGGTAGAAATTAAAAAAAAAAAAAAATACACACACACACACACACACACACACATAAATATAGAAAAAATTGCTTGGTCGAAAATAAAAATACTGACTCTGTTATCAAAGTCTTCTCCTATTGTCCAATGCTCTTCTTATTTGATCTCCTACTTGAGTTCCCATGCACATCTAATTTTATATTTGAGTGGGCTTTGGCTAGACTGCCTTCCTCTGAGTTCATGTAGCAATGTCTACATAGATTTTGATTATGGTTTATCATTGTTTCCCTGGCTCTTACTTGGATCTCCTCTTAAATCTTGCTGTGACTTTCAGGGTTTGGAATATTTCCCCAGGATCCCGGTTCTCAGCACTAACTTCCTTGAGCTGTTTGACTCACTGCTGTAAGTGTTCTTCATTCCGTGTTTCTAGTTTTGTTATAAGTCTCCTGGCTCTAGATTCTTCCCTACCAACTGTTGCCTATAGAACCAGCAGTGACCAGGCCCTAGGAGGGAAGAAAATACACTAATAAGAGGCCTTTGTGGGGAGATATATTGACACAATGAACAAGAATCAAAACTCAGGACAAGAAAAGTCTCTGGCATAATTGGTCTAAGATATGAAATTTATGAGGAGAAATATTTCTTTTAAAAAGATAGCTCCTCAAGCCCTCCACAATGATCAATATTTTTTCTTGTTCCTTTAATGTTTAGCTTCCTGTTCTTATCACAAGTCTCCCCTATTTGCCTTAGGAGGCTAGGAAGTAACCCCAACAAGGTCTTCCTCTTGCCTCAGTGGTTATCTCTTTTGATCAAAGAGTGGAGAGAAGAAACTGGTACTGTGATGGAACACTGGTTATCAGAGAGACCAAGGGAGAGAGGGCTGGGAGAGATGATCACTATTATGAAAGATAAATGCCTTTGGCAGTCAATAACACTTTCTTATAGTGTATTTCCATGTAAATTTAGATGTAAAACTTAAGAGGTCTTTACAAATATCAGGTATTTGCCGAGTAGCTGGGATTACAGGTACCCACCACCATGCATGGCTATTTTTTTGTGTTTTTGGTAGAGACAGGATTTAACCACATCTTGGCCACAGTGGTCTTGAACCCCTGACCTCGTGATGCACCCACCTCGGCTTCCCAAAGTGCTGGGATTACAGGCGTGAGCCACCACGCCCAGCCGGGTAGCTCAATATCTTTTATCTACTACCAGCAAAAAAAAATCAGGATACAGCAGTTTAGCTTGGTCATCTCTTTAAAGAAATCCCAGTTTAATGTTATGCACTTTTCCCAAGATAAGATGAAAATACATGGTTTGCTCATCTTCTTTAGACCAAGCATTACAATGTATTTTGGAGAAAAACTGAAAAGGCATTCTGTGCTCTTCATAGTTAACATTAGTGTATCATGTGATACTGCTGCTTACTGGCTTCTCTTACTTCTGCTTTTGATTCCAAGATGCTACATATTCTCTTGGTTTTCTCTGATTCCTTTGTTTGATACTTTTAAGTTTCCTTTGCTTTGCTCTTCTCCTTTGCCTGACAATGCTGGTTTTGCTGAGATTTTCATACTTTATTTCCTCTCACCCTATACATTTTCTCTGGTTGATCTCGTCTCTCATTTTGTATTCTATTACTGCTGTGGTTTGGATGTGGTTTGTCCCTGCCAAAACTCATGTAGAAGTTTAACTGCCAGTGGAATAGTGTTGGGAGAGGAGGCCTAGTGGGAGGTGTTTGGGTCAAAAAGGCAGATCTCTCATGAATTCATGAATGCTGTCTTGTGAGTTCTTGTTCTCATGGGAATGGATTAGTCCCCATTTATAATAGACTGTTATAAAGTGAGGCTGCCCCTCTTGTTTTGCCTTTTTGCATATGTCCACTTCTCCTACGACTTTCTCTACCATGTTCTGACCCAGCAGGTAGCCCTTAACATAAGCCAGGCATATGCAGAGCTATGCTCTTGAATTTCCCAGCCTGCAGAATTGTGAGCTAAATAAACCTCTTTTCTTTATAAGCTACCCAGTCTCAGGTATAACACCACAAAACATAATACCCTCTATTGTCTAGTAATTCCCAGATTTGTATTTTTAGCCCAGGCCTCTTACCTAAGACCTACACATTAACTGATTCACTGCTGGACATGACAGCAGCTTTTAAACTGCCCTCTGTGCTTCTGGCATTTCGATGGTTCAATCCACACTTCACACTCTGACAGTGACTTGACCATGTTATTGCTCTACTTAAATGCTGTCAATAATTCCCCACTGCCTTCAGCATTAGACCTAAAGTTCTTGGTATGATATGCAAAGAACTTCAATACTGAGTCCAATCTCATCTCCTCAAAAGTAACTGTGGTCCTCTAAGCAAGTCATGTGTGCTCCTGTGCTTTTGAATAGGCTGTTCCACATTTCTGGAAAACTCTACCTAGCATACCTGTTATGGGATTAATTACATGCTTCATGACTAGTTCCGCTGGCAATATTAAGGACATTTTATATGCTGGTACTAGGTTCCTACAGTCACGAAGTTTACATTTGTTTGTGTCTCTCTCCAATGGGACTGGGGAGGAAACTGAATAAACAGTGAACCAGTGAAGTAGTAATAAAGCTTTGATTATAATGAAGTAAATTGATGACAGTGACTCCTTTTTTTTTTTAACTGGATGACTAAAGATTTCTCTGAGGAAGGAATGTCCTCTGAGGAAGACCTGAGATCTCCTCTGGGAAGCTGCTGGTAGCTTTCCTCCAAATACTTTGTTTTTATTAAAGTCTTGGTTTTCATCTGTGTATTTCTATTCCAGTACACAGTTATTTCTTGAGGGAAAGAACTAAGTCTGTTCATTATGAATCACCCTCTTCTAAACACAAAGACTGGCACACAGTTAATGCTGAATTAAAGTTGCTAAATAAATTAATCAATGAAATAGAACACCTCTCAAATGATGAAGTGAAAAAGAGCTAGACCACATGAACGTTTCCAGGACCAGAGAACATTTAAATTCAGACAAGTAACAGCTGATGGCCCCAAGTTCGATCCCACACACCTAAACTTCAAAATGGAGAAACTGGATGACAATACTTAGCCAAGCAACTTGAAACGATGCCTGTATCTACTCCTATCCTCCAAAAATGCTTTTTATGCCTTCCTCTGGCTGTTGGTCTTTGTTTTCTTCACACCCACAGGTTACTTCACCTTACTCGGACATATGATTCCTGGTTCCATGCTTTTGTTTCCCCAGAGCTGGAACTGAATTAGCCAAAACTTGGCTTTCAGCTTTATTTGGATTCAAGCTAATAGAATCTCAGCTCTTTTTCTCTGGCAGTCACAAGATAACATAGTGAGCCTTGTTCTTCCCAGCAGTACGGTCTCAGCTTCATTTTCCGGTTTATACAAACTAAGACTGACTGAATTATGTACCTAGTCACATACTACCGTTATTCCTTTAAATGACTCCTGTTCTAAAGTCTTGGGTTTGTCTATCCATAGTGTGACCATATAATTTGCTATCAAAATGGACTCTGAGAATAAAAAAATGATGCTTATGATAATTACAGACAACAGGTATAAACCGGGTTTTGTAGCCACCCTCTCTATTTAGAAGTTTCCGAAAGAGTTTCATCTGCTACAGTGACTTCTTTCTTGGCTTTCTGCCATCCTGGCCAAGCTAGCCCCTCACGCTGTCACTTTCACTTGGTTTTACATTTGATCCTTTCAGTGCTGAAAGAATATTCTGGGATTTGTCAATACTTTATATAGAGATTCAAATGTGGAAACTCCTAACAACAGTAATAATAAGGTAGCATTTATAAAACAATATAATAAGATAGATATTGTGATAAGCCTTTTATATGTTTTACTGAAGTCTTTTTATAATCTAGTGTTATCTCCTCCGTTTCAGAGATAAAACAAACTGAGGCTTAAAGGGGTTAATTTACCCAAGGGCACACACTAGTACATGCAGAGTTTACATTTCATCCCAGATCTCTCTGCTTACAAGTGTCCATGTTCTTAAACTGTAACATATATACATATATATAATATAAATAATCCTTCACTGCAAAATAATCTTTTAATGGGAAAACATCACTCATTATGCTCAGTCATTAAGAAACATTAAATGTTTCTTAAACACTACAATTTTCTTGTTAACAACTATAATATTGCTCACATAACACCCATTTCCTAGACAGTGGATCTCCAAAAGTTTGGAGTTGTGCAGCCCAATGGTAAACTTTAAGCATGTACTCCTCGATAAATGTATGTTTAGATATTATACATACTCTCTTACAGCATAGTAAGAGATTTTATACACTACAGAACACACTCCAAAATAAAAATTAAAATATAAAAATAAAAGTAAACGTAAGTTCTAACATTTTTCCTGCATCCCCAAGGGTTATCTTACCTTGCCCTCCTCCCTGAGAAGCCATTCCAGAAACTCATCATCTAAATAAGTGCATCTCAAATGTTACTGTGCACATTAATTAACTGGAGAGCTTGTTTCTAATGTAGATTCTGACTTGGTATATATGAGATGAGCCTGAGAAGCTGCATTTCTAACAAGCTTCCAAGCAATATTTATGCTGGTAACCCACACCGCGCATTTGAGTAACAATAATTCAAACAAAAGATTAATGTTTAGTCAAACTGATACTGCTATTTTGCAAGAGGTAAATAAATATAAGGCTGGTGCAAAACCTAAATAAATATTAGGGGTTGTTTTGCAACAACCTTGATAGCTAGTTCTAAAGTCAACCTTTCATTACCATTTGCAAAACCTGAGAAAAATTACTTTTTAACCACGCAACAATCCTTATACACACCAACCAATAATATCAAAGAACATACTTGAAATGTAGATAACCATCAAAACTGGGCATATACTTGTCTAAACTAGTAAACTAAATCATAAACAACTGATTTGTTTTCACATATTTCTATCACCAATGACAGCAGGGAATAGAAATTTAAAAAAAAATAAGGACAAAGAACAAAGCTAAAACATGTATTTTCATCTGCTTCCAACGTGAAATCAGTAGGCAGGAAATCTATGGTTAACTACTATTGGCTAATAGGTACATTTATGTTAACAGAGGTATACAGCAATGTTTGTTGGTTGTTCCTTTTTATTTTTAAATAAATGCAAAGTAAGAATTTCCAAAGTATACTATTTTTAAAACCTATCTTTAACTTACACAAATTTAAAAGGTCCAAACCTTTTAAATGTACAGGGCTTTGTGTATGAAACTCAGGCAAATTCAGAATATCAGCACAAAGCATGTAGGTCTTACTGTCAGTCTTGCAGGTCCCTAACAAAACCCTAAAATTCCAATACCACCGACAGTATGACATCTCATGCTGGCTCTCCAATAATTTCTGCCAGTCAAATAAACCACACAAC